AAGCTGAGCGCCTGTTGGTTCGATTCCCAATGCAATGGCTTTTCTCCCCGCAACGGCTTCGGTTTTTTGGGAATTTAACCGAAAGACCCAGGTTCGGACCGAGCGAGCAACGGCCCGTTCGTCAAATCTGGGGTAAGGGGAAGGGGCCGCCCAACAACCCCGGTCCTTGCACCAAGTGCAGAATCATGCGATGCCCGACTTTAGCGACGGGTTTATGCCTGGAAGCGATGTTTGCTTTGTTAGGAGGAAAGGGGCCTGGCATTTGGGAGGTGGTGTCCAGAAAAAGAAAAAACCGTTTGGTAGATTGTAACCCGCGAGTCAGAACAAACAAGCCAGAGACACCAAAATCAGCATAAATGCTCGTATATGTACAGGGTAACATCGGAGAGCAGTATCCAAGACAAATAATAAATACTACGAGGTACTTTGGGCTGATAGCAGCAGCCGTTGCGATCAATTGCCAATGCCGGGGTAAGGTCCGGCAGATGCAGGCACGGGGCAATGAGCCATAGAGGCGAGCTGGAGCGAGCCCGATTCAGGCAAGGTAATCAACCGAGAGGGAGGGGATACTGTGCCTGCATATGCCAGTCTCTGCGACTGGCCTAGAACCAAGCATGCCCTGGCGGGAGATGATTTAAGCTCTCTCCAGCCGATGGCCTGCGGATGCGGAGCCGATGCAACCGTGCGCTGAAATGGGCATCGGCGCTGTGAGAAACTCTAAATCTAAAGAGCCAACCCAGTGCCCTTTTGGGTCCACCGGTAGAGTGCTAAGACGGCCTTGCGACGATGTCGGATCTCGCTGTGATTGACAGGGCGCCCACGCGCCTGCGCAACGGCGCTCCGCATGACCTGTCGAAAGTTTCGTTGGTATTCAGTGTTCAACGTCACCACACAGGACTCGGTCGCTCGGATCATCACCTCGCACGCATTCAGAATACCCTCCCCCGCTTCTTTCTGCAGCCGCTCCACAATCAGCAAGAGAAGAAAGCTTCCTTGAAGTAATTGAATGCCGAAGAAATACGGCATAAAACTGATATCCGGGTCATAACGTAGGATATGGTCCACCGAGTCTGCCGCATCAAGGGCGTGAGAGATGGTCGAGGCGAACGCGGGGGATGAAGTCCAGAAGTCCTTATCTTCGATCAACGATACAGGATCCCATTTCCCGACAAGAAGAATATGTAGCACATGCACAAGATAAGATGCATACGAGATGACCGTTTGAGTATGCCATGAATAAGCCTGGGCGAGTGAGGGTTCGACTGGTTGTTGATCGGGTTTAGGGGGAAAGGCACTGGATAAGGGCGCATCGGGATCCGACGCAGTGGCAGCAAACGTTGTGAGACTAGCCTTGTAAAGCTCAAGCTGGCGCAGCACTTCACCGACGTGCGCATCCCAGGCGTCCTTTCCATTCAAGCGTGCTCCAAGCATCGGATGGTTACGAGCTTGGTTTAAGTCGATTAATTCGCCAGTAATGGTCATGAGAGGCAGGAAGAAGCCGAAGATAGAGTGGTCATGGCAAATAAAATTGGGGAAAACCCGGCGTTTGTTCTTCTCGCCTGACAGCGGGCACTGTGGTCCATCCGGTTTGGGACTATTGCTGTGGATGTTCCCAGACTGCCATGACCCTTCGTCCAGCGGCAATAAAAGATCCTCGCTTTCAGCGTCGAGTAGAGCAAGGGGGCGATTGTAGCAGAGAGCGAGGTGACGGTCCATGATGTAGAGAAGCCACCATGTCCGACGACGCTCTTCACGGTGCTCTTCGGTAATAGCGCCACGCAATTCGTGGCCACGGTCGCATACGCAATTCAAGCTTGGCCGAGCAGGGTTTGAATAATCGAAAAAGGGGCCCGTGTCAACGCCACTCCATCCCGCAAGTGAATAATCAAATGACGGGCTCGAGCCCTCTGGGTGATTCTCCTCACTAGGCATCACCTCGATCTCCTGATTGAGCTTCAGTTCCCGTGCAAGAGTAAAGGCGGCATGCCACCTAAGATTGGTTAGCTTCCTTGCTCGCTTCGGGTTACTTGAATAAAACGAACCATCGCATGCTGGCGGCCTTTTGTTCGCTTGAAGAGATAATGGATGCCACATGGATGTATGTGATGACATCGTCCAATGATCCTGCAGGGCCGACCAGCCCCCGATCATCACCACCGGCTTCAAATGGGTGGTGCACCGTTGTAGGGGGACCGTCCTGACCGATCGCAGCATGAAGTGGGTCGCTCGCCGCGGCGCCCTCTTGCTCTTTGAATGACACGTGAACCAACGGTCGCAAGAGCCGTAACGTTAGAGCACATAAGAATTGACATATCTTCTTCCTCTGGGGAGGAGATATCGGCAAAGCAAACGCACGGTCATCTAACGCTGCCACCCAAAGCATGCTGGCCAGAAGTGCAGGGCTGCTAGGCCGAGGGGCTTCCCGGCTCAGAAATGATGCCTTTCGTAGAACATAGCAGTGAATGTGATGACACACGGGATGCATATGCGTGGAGAATGCGCTTGTGAAGTACAGGTCGAGAAGATCGTATACTAGCTTTCGAGGCAAGCTCGACTCCAAATATGGCATTACTGGCTGGAGTACTGGATATTTTAGGATTGTTGCCGACGGTGCTGGTGTCTGTCCAAGGCCGGTTATCTTGGAACCCTGAGATGCTGGATCACTGTAACCGGCCAGGTCAACCCCATTCCAGATATCAAAGATTCGAGGAAAAGGGCCTTCCCCAGGGCCGATGCCTGCCAAGGGCTCATAGGAACCTGGAGAGACATGCGTGCCTGCTAGCCATTCCTCTGTCGCATTAACTGTATGCCCTGACTTCCTCGGAGGAAGTGACACATCCGCCTGAGAGCGCCGCTCGTCAATGCTTGGGGCTGACACCGTCACATCATTTGTCGCTGGCGATCTATGGCGAAAAGTCGTAGAGGGAGAGCCATTTGGAACCGGACCAGATCCTGCTTCCGCAGGTGCCGGTGCTGCGGCTTGGGACTCCACAGGTTTGGTCGGCTTTTCAGTGGCAGCATTGGGCTCTACCAGTCGGGATCGCGCAATGCGTCCTCGCTTGCGTCGTTCGCGAGTGAACTCGCATCGGATTTCACTGCGAAGGCAGCGCGAGCAGGGAAAGGCTCGATCGCACCGCACGCGACGCGAATGGCAGGAGTCGCAAGCTATCCGATTCCTTCTCCAACGACGTTTTGTTGAGGCTCCGCCGGTTGGTTCTTCGGTGGCTGCTGGAACGCTGGATGCCTGGGCGTCCCCCGACTGGGCAGTATCCATTTCAGGCCGACATTGGCGATTCCAGAGGTATATGAGGGTATGCAAAAGAATCGCAGTCTGAAAGAATGGGGTTGAGAAGTCAGCAACCGGCCAAGACGAAAGGAGCGAAAGAACCGGTCCTTAGCCCTTACCAGGCAATTACAAGCGGGGAAAGAGACCGAGGCAGTTGTTGATGAGTAACTGGCTTGACATACGTATCCACGACGACAGCTAAGCCTTCTGGGATGCGCCGGTGACAAGACGCAATGCGGATAGAAACCCGTAGAGCAGAGGAGAGGACTTTTCCATGGAGGAAGAAGGGAGCTGAGTGGCAGAGCGCAAAACAGGCCGGGCAGAGCAGAAGCGATCCATCGCGGGGAAACCGTCGGGGCTGGACTCCGCACGCGCTAAAAAAGGGCCCTAATCCAGAGCCGGGCTACACATGGAGAGCTCTCCAGGGTTCACTGCCCTGGTGGCAAACTCTGGTTTGTCACTAATAGGCCGCGGTGGGGTGTGCCTAATCGAAGTAGTACCTCTAGTACTCTCTGTTTGGGGTGGACGCTATGAAGTCGCTTCCTTGCGAAATCAAAATGCCAATGGTCGGACAGCTGGCACGTTGCCAAGGCTAGTACCAAACTGATAATATATTGCTCCCGCTATTACCAACAAAATTCACCACAGAAATCCCTAGCGGACCGTCCATGTAGCCGAAGTCAGCACAAACTTCAATTGAAGTTGAACGCGGCGGTCTAGTGGCTAGCATCGTACCATCGAGTCAGTATAAGCGACTAGGTTCCTGCAGCTGCATCCGCATCTGCATGTGTACCCCAGCTGTCTGACCCTAGTAATCCGCGTCTCGGAGATCGGCCTCGCCCACTGCCTGTTTGGTAGGTGAGAAGTAAGACATTGTAGCAGATACGATGGGAACTCGTCGTCATCAACAAACTTAATTTTTGTCACTGCCACTGCTTTCTCAACGGTCAGCCGGGTCTCGTTATATATTTAGTACGCAATAGTTTGATCGATCTATCTGACCGGTGCCCACAGTAGGAAAGGCTTGTAGAGACCACATCCAATATGTCAACCAGGACATGGTCGACCGAAGGACGTGGTAGTAAAGAGAGTAACTCGAGGAAGCATGCCAGGGGGAACTCAGAGATGGGGAAGACGACCTTTTGGTTGATGCGAACAAACGAGACAAAGGACGTGACTCGATCACCTGATCTCCCAAAAGACTGGAATTTTCGAAGAAGGCGCGGTTCAAATCTTCTCCAACCGCTGGCTCTCTAGGATCTAGCGTTAGCTCCAAGTAGACACGAAATCTGATGCTCCTACTTTGCTGGGCTCTAACCAGATCCAATCAAGTCCGATAATCGCAGTGAGCGATAGTAAGAAACTATTATGAGTTCTTGCAGGGTCGATCATTTGCTCGAAATGGACACGGGTCACGAACAATAATGCTGGTAAGACTATTCTCCTATTGGGAGGAAGGATGTCTGCCATACTCCTTACGCTCCTTATCCGGCTTGGAGAAGGCTGAAGATGACGACTCTATTCATGAAGAAAATACCGGAAAGCTTTCCTACTTAGTATATTGACTAATTTTGAAGCTTGTGATAAGCAAAAGCTGAGCTATACTGTTGATTGACAGAAAACATGGTCATATTATTACAGATCAGGCTCAACACGTACGCTCCAGAGTAGATTTAGGCGCCCCCCTCCCCGCTTGCACACCATGAACAGGTCGTCAGCGGCCCTGGGCAACCTTCTTATAATTCTCTAACGCACGATCTCGACTCTGAGAATGATCCACTATCGGCCTTGGATAACCATTCCTCTCAGCAATATCCCCAGCTCCTCGGCCATATGGGTCATGAACCGCCGCGCCCTCAACCGCACGTAGTTCCGGCACCCAGTGACGAATATACTCGCCTTCTGGATCAAACCGCTCACTCTGGCGTAGAGGATTAAAGATCCGGAAATATGGCTGGGGATCAACCCCAGTACTAGAACCGAAACCCCAGCCGCCGTGGTTCGAGGCGAAGTCCCCGTCTATCAGGTGTTCCATGAAATATCGTTCCCCTGCACGCCAATCTACCAGAAGGTCTTTCGAAAGAAATGATGAAACGACCATGCGCGTGCGATTATGCATCCAGGCGGCGTGGTTCATTTGGCGCATGGCGGCGTCGACGATGGGATAGCCAGTTTTGCCCTCGCACCAAGCATTGAAGTGATCTATGTTATAAGACCACGCTAAATTTGTAAATTCAGGTTTGAAGCACTTGTTCATACTGGAAGATGATGGTGGTCAGTGTGGATATACAGATACTCAGCAAATATGGAGAAAACACACCATATGAATGGCCAATGAACCAGGACATGCTTATAGAAATCTCGCCAAGCAACCTCGCTAATCCACGATGCATATCCAGTCTGGTTCATACTCAATTGGCCTTTGTTCTTTTTACGGGCCTCAAAAACAGCTGTTCGTGCGCTAAGTGCCCCAGACGCGAAATAAGGGCTTAGCACGGATGTATTCCGCCCCGCGAGTGAGTTTCGCAAGTCATCATAGTCGTTTGCCTTGTCCTCCAGAAACGCCTCCAGCCTACGGAGTGCCTCATGCTCGCCCTCCGGATACAATTCCCTGAATCTTGTCTTTTCTTCCTCAGTGAGCCGCTTGTTCTCCGGTGCAACAGGCACCTCGCAGTCAAAGAGGGTCTTGAAGTACTTGCGTGCATCGCCGGGGTTCGACCCCGGCTCATCCGCAACCTCAAGGTATTCTGGATTCTCATTAAGGAAGGCACACCAGGAGCGAAACCACGGGCTATAGACTGCATACTGTTTCCCCTGTTGGGTGACCAGCTTGCCCGGAGTGACAACGCATGTATCATGTGCTGCTTCAAATCGTATGTCGTTTCTTGCGCACAGTCGTACTAATTTCGCCTCGCGGCGCAATTCATCGACTTCATACTCCAGGTTTGCAAAGAGGTGACTTGCACCCCATTCCTGGCATAAATCTATAATCCTTTGAGGAATATCCTTCCTCCTTTCCTGCGTCTCCATATACAAAGGAATATCCAGCTCATTCAAGTCTCGCCGCAACAATTCTAATGTTCGTAACGTCAGATCCACACGAGGAGCGCTCGACAAATGAGCTGTCAGATCCTCCGGAGAGAGAATATACAAGCCGATGAGAGGCAGGTTGTGTTCTCGCGCAACCTGATATGCCATTTGGAGGCCGCGATTGTCATGTAGTCGAAGATCTGTTTTGAACCAGTGAACGACGGCTGTCTTGGGCTCGATTTTCTGACGTTCATCGAACGTGTCTTCGTATGCCCTCTGTAGGGATTCGATGGGTCGTTCCAGCGTTCCGTTATTGTAAGCCTCGCACCGCTCGTTGCACATCTCAGGGGGATAGAAGTCACGCAGGACGATGCCAAAGTCTTCTGTATCTTTGGCATGGGGATGCGGACGCGTAAGATCGGGCTTTCCGCGTTTATTTGTGTCTGATGAGGCACCATTAATGGCAGAAGTGCTTGATGACTTGCGCTTTTTTGGAGGCATGTCGCTCATTAGCGCTTTGAAGGCGCGTTGCAGAGATACTGTTCTGTAGGTGAGGTATTGTTGGGTATTGACAAGTGACCGGACGCGCAAACTCCGGAAAATCATAGCGCGCTTGATTTTCGCAGAGCAATGGGAAAGGCTGGGTTTCGTTGAGCTCTGGGGTCAGATCGATCGAGGATCTGGACCGCGCCAGGGACGCTGACGTCAATACCCGGGAGGTTATCTCAACCAAACAACATCCCTGCGCTGGGACCTGTTCTAGGTGTTGCTGACAGTGCTTTGAATATTATAGGCTAACTTTTGCCTATTCTTGCAAGGAGTCTGTTAAGTTTGGACTTTGAGTGAAAGAGTCCTTGCGCGACATGGCCTACTCTATTGCTGGTTATAATGTTCCTAGACAGAGGCAGTCATGCACTATGCTGCGCGTTTCAACATTTCAGTTAGGCAAACAAGCAGGTGACCGCACGCTCGTGTGTCAATCATCTTTCGACAGGACTGGGTGGATCTGTAAAATGGGGTCTGGCTTGTTCAATATAGTGAGCAAGTCGTCTTTAGGTCGTCTGGGAACGGGAGTGTTTGGACAGAAGCCGAGCCATTGCCCCACTCCACGATATGATAACGATGCTCATACTAGGTTAATCAGTATCTCTGTATAGAAGGAGATATTGTATTACCTTTCAACGGACCTCTGCGACTAAGTGGCTCAAGGTCCATATGCAGCGATGCACAGATTAATTACAACTTGACCTCAAAGGTAATTGGTGGGTTCGCATTTTCATGAAACTGTATGTGAATCTCATAACCTTGCCTTTGGTGTCTATAGCAGTTCATAGACGGGGTGTTGGGTTCGAGTAGTATTCCCTGCCGATACAAGGGCATCTCGAGGAGAATGCAAATATGAACGGTTCAAGTGTAGGAAAGGATTCTTCATTGATAACTAAGAAGCTTCACTCCGACAGGAAAGTGAAAATGGCATTGCATAGTGCCATGTGTCATATGCCATTGGATGGATAATATTGGGAGAGGCACCGAAGTATACGGAGGACCTTTGCAATCTGTGGGAACTACCCGAAGAGGCAGGCAGGAGAAGGCAAGTGTGGTTATTGATGCCTGAGGCCACCAGGCAGCCGGTGTTGTGACTTTTTGACTTTCCGTGAGTTTCCCCCGCCAAGCACGGCGAAATGAAGAATTTATCCAAAGAGTGGATGACTCCTTTCTGAACAGCAGTCAACAAGTCATTGGTGATGATGTTCTAACTACTTAGTTAGTGCAATTTTGCACCACTATCTTACGTGACATCTACTGTACAATCACGAATAAATGTCTTGATTGTGCTGCCCTTGATGCACGCCCTGCCAATGGCAAGACGGTTTGGAATCTGATGGAAAGAGGCTGAATGAGGGAGACTCTGAGCTATCCCCCCCCAAAGCGGACCACGTCAACCAAATTCAAAAAGCATCCGTGGCATCTTCTTGCCTTGCACTTTCTACTCCACAGCTGGTGTTTAACAAGCCAGTGAATACAAATCACTGTATATCCAACAGCTGCATTGTTTGCATTCGGCCCAGTATTTGTCTCGCTTGCACTTGTGCCTGTGACTACTAGCACGTAGATGGCTGCGCTATTCCTCTTCTGCTTGGGCCTGTTCTGGCTTTAACTCCGATAATTATCTCCGAACACCCAATCGTTATCTCCGGAGGATATTATTCACAGCAGTCATACCTGCCATGTCAATGTTCAGGCCCCCTGGAGAGGTATCATCCTCAGATTCGTCTTCGGACGCGTCCTCGGACGCAAGTCAACATGATATCTCTACGAAAGATTGCGTGCTCGCCCAAGGTACACAGCAGAATAAGGAAAATGGCATTGATGAATCTCGCCTTCTGCAGGACAATGCCCATCGAGACCATGAGGCTGATTCCGGCAAGGTGCTGGGGGGTGATACAAAGGGCCATTCAAACATGGTGACGGCTGCCCTTCTCGAATTCTACTGCCTTACCCGGGCGGCAGACATCCTAAACAAACAGGCGGGCGCCAATGGACAGTACACGCGTGACTCGCCTGAAGTGCGATATCTCGGGAACCAGTTGTACACTCACAAGTCTGCATTCCTATCCTCAGTAGGCGCGGTTTCTCAGGGTATTGAAGGAGATGAATGGGGGGCAACAAGACAGTATTATCGCGACAACCTTGATATGTTGGGCATGTCTATGCTAGACAAACTCAAACTCGACGACATCGGTGGACAGCCATCTGGAATCATAGCAGCAAACGATGCAGGCCCGGGCTTAGAGCAAAGTAAAGCTCTTCAGCCGTGGCCGACCAACCCAAGTTTGAACATGATACACCCCGGACCTAGTGGTGTTGGACTGCCAGCCGGCCAAAAGCAATTACTTGGCCATGAAAACGTCCCTGCCTCACGAAACTTTCCATTCGACCTTACAGCTTTGCTTAATTCGTCAACACATCTTCCAGGAAGCTCGACAGTTGGCTTGCCTCTGCTTCAGCCCAAACCACAACCGCCAAGCAGTCATTTGTCCCGTTACACTATGGAGTTTTCTGAGGTCAAAGTTCTGGGCCGTGGCTCCTTTGGCGAAGTATACCACGTCAAAAATCACATAGACGACCAGGACTACGCAATCAAGAAGATTCCTCTCAGCCAGCGACGACTTCAGCAGCTACAATGTGGCAGTCAGAATCAGCTGGAAAAAATCATGAAGGAGATTAGAACACTCGCTCGACTCGAGCATACCAATGTCGTTCGATACTATGGCGCCTGGGTGGAACGATCTCCCATTTCCGGTTACGCTACTTCGCTGCACGAGGAGTCTGAAGACATCAATTCTGCGCAGATGCAAAGCCGCACTTATAGCATGGGAATGACAGACAGTAAAAGCTTCGGGATCGTTTTCGAACAGTCAGAAACTTCGGATGTATCACAGCATTCATTACAATTGGATCCTGAGTCAAAGGGCTGCAGTGCATATCATCGCCGTCAGAGCCACTCCAGTGTGGGCACCCACACATCAAAGGCATCCACTACACATGGCACCGGGGAAGATGATGAGGTAGAGACCATCCCGCGCAACTTCAGCCTCGCCTCGCAAGACCCGCTGTCTACCTTTGGTGGGACCGATGATGATATTTTCACGGATGGCCTCAGCGAAGATCCATCCAAGCTACAAATTCAGCGCCGATACCGAAGCGCAGCTCAACTGCCCGCTGTTGTTCTGCATATACAAATGTCGTTACATCCGATCTCGCTGAGCTCTTACCTCAACTCACAACCAAGCACAAATACGGAGCACGACAAAACGCTCCCACGGCGCCACTGCTATCATCTGGTGCCTTCTCTAAAGCTAATGCTGGACATAATATCCGGTGTTGATTATTTGCATTCCAAGGACATTGTGCACCGCGATCTGAAGCCAGCTAATATCTTCCTTTGTGCTCCGGACAAGAAGCAATTGGATGGATGTTCTCCCTGTGCAAGCGCGCATGGACCGATTCATAGATATTGCCATCCTCGTATCGGTGATTTCGGTCTCGTCGCAGACATCTCGCACATCAACGATCGCCCTCCAGATGGTTCTTCGACACAGCCACAAGAGGCAGAGATCCACACCGTCGTGGGAACCGAATTCTACCGCCCACCTTTCCACGCCAGCAAGGCAGGAATGGCAGAACGGCCACGCCAGCACGGCAAACCAGCATCCCTATACGTCATTGACGAGACCCTTGATGTATACGCGCTGGGTGTTATTTTGTTTGAACTGGTTTATCCACTCAATACTAAGATGGAGCGCCAGCTCGTTCTCACCGGGCTCACCCGAGGACCACCCGGGCAAACTTCAACCGGACCTATCTTCCCCGAAGACTTCTCACACAAGCTTCACATGGGCTCCATGACCCTTGCTGGTGGAACGTCAGTAGCTGAGTATGTAATGACGTGCATAAAGGGCATGCTTGAGCCAGATCCGCAACAGCGCTGGCGCTCCCCGCAGATTAAGAAGTATTTGGAGAAGCTTCTTTCCGAGGTGCAGGACCTAAGCTAGACCAGTGGTCTGTAGCATGACTTCCGAGAGTTGGAATGTGTCAAGGTAGAGAAGTGATCGATGGATCGATTGATTGGGATTGGCGACGTGCACATGGTCAAGAACATACTGGAGAACTGGAAATGGGTGACGATTAGTGTTGGCAAGGAGAAGGGATCATGTAAATTATCTAGAGGTAAGCATAGCGATGTGCCGAATTAGATTGATAGCATTTCCCTGCATGTTGTTACACAGGCTATTGAATGTTGCGGGACTATTCTGTACAACGTAGACAGCGGCGAACTCCCCGACCGCCACAACCAGCAGGGCCTCGGCGATGCTCCGACCAGCCCGAGCCCCTTCTCCACCGCCGCCAATTTGCGGGGGTTGCAGACCGAGCAGTTACATCTCTTCAATTCATGACTGTGTGGCTACCGCGTCACCCCGCAACGATGATATGCCGAAGCACGCGGGCGATCAGTTCCCCGACCGCGGGCGCTTTCCGTCCATACAACGGCGGTATATATCTCAGCCATATCCAATTCTTCACCCATTCAATCCCTTGCGAGTGTCTTCCTTGTGCACGACCTTCTACCCTACGCATCTCCGATTTCCATTGACCGCCATTGTCTGAGTGGTGAGATTCAGCATAACATCGGATCAACTGCAGGCTTCCATAGCATCCTACTAGCTCCATCGGACAAGATGGCGAGGGAGAGGCAGTTGTCTGCACAGCATATTTCTGAGCACAAGACGCCCGACGACTGCTGGATTGTGGTAGACAACCAGGTGTGGGATGTGACGGATTTCCTGGAAGAGCATCCGGGAGGATCGTCAAGTAAGATCTCGGCGTCAAGGTTTACGACAACTAGAAATCGAGACTGACACGTCAACTCAAGTTATCCTGAAGTACGCCGGACGCGATGCCACCAAAGCTTACTCTGAAGTTCATGCTCCCAGTGTCATAAAGACACACCTATCACCAGAGCGAAATATGGGAGTGCTGGATGAAGCGACAATCAATGAGGACTGGTTGAAGCAACCGCCCACTCAGAGCCCGCCCTTGCTTCTGGAGAATGAAAAGCCACCGCTAGACACCCTGATAAATTCCCATGATTTTGAGCTGGTCGCATCGAAGACAGCCAGTAAGAAAACATGGGCGTTCTATTCCAGTGCTTCGACAGACCTGATTACCCGGGATGCGAACAAGCTGTGCTTTGATCGTATATGGCTGCGACCGAGAATACTAAGAAATGTGCGATCAGTCGACACAAAGACCAACCTGCTTGGCATCAATACCGAGCTTCCGCTCTTCGTTAGCCCGGCAGCAATGGCGAAGCTCATCCATCCAGACGGCGAGTTGGGAATTGCAAAAGCTTGTGAGAACAAAGGCATCTTCCAAGGGGTATGCTCGTAATTTTCCCCCTCAATATTGCCATCACTGCTTTTCCATATTAAACTCCTATATAGGTCTCCAATAATTCCTCCTATCCCCTCGATGAGCTGCGCAGTGCTGCACCATCGGTTAATATGTTCTTTCAGCTATACGTGAACCGCGATCGTGCAAAGTCCGCTGCTCTCCTTCGCCAATGCTCCACCAATCCCAACGTCAAAGCTATCTTCATCACGGTGGATGCCGCCTGGCCTGGGAAGCGGGAGGCAGATGAGCGCGTAAAAGCCGACGAAACATTATCGGTCCCGATGGCGCCATCCAAAGCAAAGAATGACAAGAAAGGTGGCGGTCTGGGACGAGTAATGGCAGGTTTCATTGATGCCGGACTGACCTGGGAGGATATGGCGTGGGTGCGACAGCATACACATTTGCCCGTATGCCTGAAAGGTGTGATGTCCGCTGATGATGCGATCCTTGCTATGGAAGCCGGGCTCGACGGCATCCTGTTGAGCAACCATGGCGGGCGGAATCTCGACACTAGCCCACCCTCCATTGTCACTTTATTAGAGCTACAGAAGCGGTGCCCGGAGATCTTCGATCGGATGGAAATTTACGTCGATGGTGGTATTCGGCGGGGAACTGACATTCTCAAAGCCGTGTGTCTGGGCGCAACAGCGGTTGGAATGGGACGCAGCATGCTGTTTGCAACTAACTATGGACAGGAGGGTGTGGAACATTTGATTGACAGTAAGTGTGCTCTTTATCCAGCTCCTTTTCCTACACTGGGCCAATTTCTGCTTGCTAACAACTCTCACCACCAGTCATGAGAGACGAGCTCGAGACAGCTATGCGCAATGTAGGCATCACTAGCCTCAACGAAGCTGGACCCCACCTAGTCAACACCGGAGATATAGATCACCTGGTCCCCAGCTCAGCCAGCCATCCATACGCACAAATGGTAGCCAAAGGACGACGTCCAATCGGACCCAAGCTATGATACCAATGATGAGTGTTAGCCATAAGCTTTTAGACAGTTTGGTAAATACAGAAACGCATCAGTGCCGCTTAATTAGTCGCAGAGTATCACCATCCCAAGCCACGGAACGTCAGGAATCCTGAATGGGTAGCTTGCGTCTGAAGATTCAATAGAAAAAAAAAAAAAAAAAAAAAAAAAAAA